CCCCCCCAATTATATTTTGTCACAGAATCACTTACCAGAGGAAGATGTTTTCTTGATTCTTTGATCCCCACTAGCACAAACTAATACCAGGCACAAGATGGAAACTGGAGCCAAGTCTAAGCTGGACATTCTGAAACAGTGTTTCACAGGAACACCAGTGGCCTCGCCCTACACCTGTTCAGTCAATGAAGAGGAAATGAAAAATGAACAAATTTTGATGAAAAGAAGGGAGCTTTTTCTTTTTTCCTCCCTCTTTTTTTTGTATGTTCCCTTTCCTCCTCAAGGGAATATTAAGAGCAACAGCAGGTGCCGGAAATCAGGCGTTTGCTCAAGTTCGTATATTTTCTGCTCGCTATAAACTGTGTGTCTCTCTTTCTCTTCTAATTTCTTCCTGTCCGTCGTTCCTCGCAAAAAAAATTTTTCGTGTTTGATTTGCTTCATGTTTGCAAAACGTGATGAGTTTTCGTGACGATTTGTTTGCGCAAAAAAAGGCAAAACCGCGGCTTGGATGAAAGGAGGATTTGAAAGCATTTGTGTCCTTCACTTTTTTTTTCTCTGTGTCCCTCGCCACAAAAAAAAAAGAAAAAAAGTTCCGGGTTTCAAAGAACATGAGACACAAGGGTGAAAGACAGAAATGAAAAAGAAAACACCACAAACACGAAAAGGTGGTGGAAAGGGATTCATTTGTCCTGCTATATGCTGGTGACATCTGGATGATGGTGTTGAGGGGCGACATCTGTGTTCTGGACTGTTGCAGATGACTAGTTGGGATCAATGAAGTTAGATGACACCTCTGAATGCCTGCCCTTCCTGGACTTGGCATTTTTCCAGTTTTCTGCCCTTTTCTTTGTGTACATTGCCAAGTTTTCTTCATCATTCACCTGATGTACAAAATTTTTTTTGATGCAAACTCAACAATTATTATACTGTTCAATTAATCTCTTCTGTGCACCAAGTTTTTCAAAATGAATTTATAAAAGGTACAGATACATTATATTTTTGGCATGGAATTCCTTGGGCTTTTAAATGCATCATCCTGAAAGTTTTATAAAGGCTCAAAGAAATCCACTCCCTTGAGAAGCAAAAATTAAAATTAATGAAACCGTAGCTAAAGTGGTAAAACCAAGCTTTTTCGACTTAGCAAACTTGTCTTTAAAATAAAACTAATATTTCCTGAAGAAATAATCTATTAAAAGCTACAAATTTTGACTGTGTATAAATGATCAAACCTCATGATCAGAAATAAACAACTACAATATATTAAAGATGAAAAATCTGCACAGAAAGACTTTTATCCTCAGAAAATAATAGTTTCTGACTTTTTAGTTGTTTATGAATTTTCCAAGTCAATACTCAATGTTTGTTATAGTGTCACTTGCTTTGGGAGCCAAAAGATACCAGAAAATTTTGAATATCTCAATGTGCAACAGAAGGTTTCAATCTAAATATACTCAAGTACTGTATTCAAAAAAGCCATCTTATGAAGCTCCATGAGTTGGTTTTTGAATGAATATTCATTGTGTATGTGATCAATTTTTGAAGAGAAAAGAAATTTGTTGTCCCAACTGAGAGAATAAAACATTTGTGCTATAACACCTGTATACAGTATACACAAAAATATGTACTGTACAGTATGTATATATCCAGTACATATACTGCATTTACTTGAGTACCACGCGCACCTTTTTTCCCAAATTTCAGAAGAAAAAAAAAGGTGCATGTCATAAGCGGGTACAAAATTTCAATAAGTTTTAGGAAGTTATGTGTGCATTATACTTAATTATAATGGAGAAATTTTGAACAAATATAACAAGAAAACATTTTTGTACATATTGAAAAAGTTGAAAATTGATCAGATTTTTGCTCAATTCATGCCTGAAGTCAAATCTTTTGTTTTTATTTTTGAAATTTTATGGTTTTAGATTCACTAAAAATTGGGGTGTGTGTCTTACTTGGGGATAAGATCTTTGCAAAATTTTCAACTGAAAACCCCCTGTGCACGCCTTACTTGACGGTGCATGGTACTTGAGTAAATACAGTATATATATATATATATATATATATATATATATACTGTGGATGTACTTGTATTCTGTATATATTTATATGGTCCAAATATAATCATTATGATCCATCAGTTGGATACATGAGGGGTAATACCAGAGATACAATATTGAGATGAGAATCACCTTGTAGACAATAGTTGGTGGATGAGTCCACAAGACCTCATGGACTTTGAACCACTGATCAATCTCCTCTTCTCTCATGGGTGGAATGTGTCTATTCTGATCATCAAGGACTCCTTTGTCTCCTGCACACAGTCTTTTGAAGTACCCCACAGTGGGGTGGTGGCCTGGATGCTTAGATTTCTTGTCTTCCATGTAATCCTCACTGTCTGTTGTGGACTGAGTTGCTGTCTGTGGCTTTGCATACTCCTCACTACTGCGCTGCCCAGCTGCTGCTCTTGGGTTCAACAAATTCCCAGCAAATCCTACATAAAGGAAAATGATTGATCACCAGGAAACCCAACACCAACACACACTCAATTGGTAATGGGGACCACCCTGAGTATGTGTTCATTCATTTAAAATAAAAGAACTCTCTGTCAAATGCAGGTGGTGCCTGGCACTTTGATCCTAATCCATTGCTGGACTATTTAGGGTCCCATTGCAAAGTGGTCAAATTTGAAAGCAGCATCAAATGCAAGGTTTTCTACATTTGTATTTCACATTTGTATCCATATTTGTGGGTCAAATTGTAGGGCCTAGGTCAAACTGCAATTTGACCTCCAAGCTAGGAAATTAGACAATCAAACTGCATGATGGTCAAATTGCAAGGTACCACCTGTAATTTATTTACATCAGTTGTGCAATTGTAAATTTTGGGATGTATTTTCTTTTCTTTCAATATCCATATACAGCTGATTTCTCTGTTTTCCATTCTGATGTATATGATGGAATGTGTTTGGATGGATGTGGGTGGGGAGGGGAGGGGGTTTGGATGTGGGAATGTTGTTTGAACCTTGTGAATCCTAAAAAGCTGAAAATAAAGCTTGCTCTTCAATTCAATTTGATACTGTAATGTCAAAAGTATGTGTTGTCAAACTTATAAGTAAGCATGCCACTGCCAAGAACAAATGAATGATGCATCTTTTCCTAAATGGCAAGGATACCCTATAAAAAAGTAAACTACTGCATTCCTATATACCATTTCTTCACAGCCAGGCATCAATTCAGGAATCATTGAAAAGTTTTCAAAATCACTAAATCTTGCAAGTGCAGTCAACTTGTTTTACTGATGATGCAAAATATGCAGTATTACCACCAATTCTTTACATAATAAAAAGAATCAAGAGTGATTCCAGCATTACTTATACAGTATATGTTGTACTCAAATACTGGAAAAATATGCCAGAAAAAGCATAGATGCACATCTTAAATAAATTAAATTATGTCAATATAAGTACAGCATGTCTCAATCTTTGAAAATATCCTAGTCTGCATCTTCCACATCACATAACATGACTTTTGACCAAATTTGATGCAATATAATTGAATAAAATTGGTGGTGAAACAATCTTAAATATGTTTGTATATTTCTAAGAAGAATGGTGGAACAATATCAAGAATTTCCAATTGAGACCTGGACCAGTTCATGCCACTAAGTAATTTGATATGGACTTAAGATCATGGATCTGCTTCCCAGATTTATAAAATTTATTTTACCCTTATGGACATTTGAATTTGAATCACAAATTTCAAATTAGCATTGCTGATGACTGGAATTTGATATTTTATTGTACTCCTTCAATTAAAAAAAAAGACAGATGGACATGCAAACAATATCATAATAAAGAATCTTCAAATTTTTTTATAATTTTGATCCAGGGTCCTCTGCTGTGTGCAATAAAATAGAGTTATAAATTTCAAAGAAATGGACTATAACCAGAAATGCCTTCTTGAAATAAATCACTTGTAGAAATGTGAAACTGTGGTTGTGCATGAAATTGGAGCATTTTGAAGCCTAGGAAAACTTGAGTAGCTCTGAAAAGGTTATACTGTACCTTCCACTGATATTCCTCAAGTCTAAAATTAAAGTAACTCAGTTCTTGGAATAAAACAGAGGTCCTTTATGAGAAACTGAAATTGTGATTGAAAAATGTGAACCAAGTGGATGTTTAATGTCCTGATATGCATAGTCCTATATTATGATATTCATTCATTTTCCATTATTACTTTTTAGGAGCAAGGAATTGTGCTCATAAAAAAAGGAAAATTAAGGGATTGGGGGCATCTCAAATGACTGAAATGTTTTTAGCATTTAAAATATATTGTTGTCCAGTGCATCCTAAATTGCAGAAACAATTGAAACATTTTTAAATTCCATCCCAAGGTTGAGCAAGATTTTCCAAAATGAATGTATTAACACTCTCCAGTGGTTAAACTCTAAAATATTTTTTCCCCTGATAACTACATGACTAGATTCACTGTTTGGAAGTGAGAGGGAACTGCTGGGGTTTTGATGCCCTGCTTTTTCTTTGATTCTAAGCACATACACACTCAAAAAAAAAATTGGGAGGAAAGTTCTTTTTCTTTTGGCATCGCCTCTTATATATTGTTGTCATCATATTTTGTGGCAATATTTTGGCACACCAAGAAAAAAGGAAAACAGCGTATGTTGTTTTTATATCCCCTTGCTTTCTTTATCTTTTTTCTTTCTCACCATGGACGACGGCGACACACGCGAAGAGGACGGCGGCGACACGCATTCTCTATGACGGGGACGCCTCCAGCAGCAAACCGGCGACGGAATTCCCCTCAACTTTCAAGATTCTTCATCATCCAGGCTTCATTTATTTTTTCTCTGCTTCTTCTTCCCGCTTCCCTCGATGGAAAAACAAGGAAGATCCTCTGTTTGATTTTCTGTCTGACACAAGTTGTGAGGAAACGAAAAATATTCCGCGTGCGAGGAGCAAACAAACAAAAAGTGTGGTAAAGCCAGCCGCGCGCTTCCTGGTCGAGGAGTTTGAATTAGAGCGACACCTGGATGAGGAAATTGAAGGGAGACAGGAGTTGGGAAGTTTTGAAAGAGCTTGCTGAGATGTCGCCTATGGAGGAGATGGTAAAGTTTCATCCCTGAGGAGGATTCCAGCAATTTATCATGATTGAAATTCGTTCTCTCATATATCAGAAACCGCGAGATGGAAATTCAGTGACTCTCATTATGCTGGGTTTCAAATATATAGTTCATGAATTATTTTTAAGTATATGCAATTTTTAAAAAAAGTTTTCTCAAATATCTTCAAAATGCAGACATCACTTGTGTGTTATTCTAGATTTATGGGGAAGATATCAAGTTATCACAGTATTTATGAAAAAGTTTTCCAGCCTGGATTTTCCTTCATTTTTCAAAAATTTAACTTGGGACATTGCAGTACAGTATGTTGTCCAAAATTTGAAAAATTTTTCAGCAGGTGATATATAAAAGGTTTTTCAATGCTGCAGTTATTTCAAGTGTCTTATTTGAAGGAAAAGATGAAGTTTCAGAAATAATAAATTCCCTTTCTGCAGTATTTTTGCATATGTTCAAATCAATTTTTTAGAATTGGAAGACTGAGCTTTGAATTCAGTGACCAATTTACTTAGATAAATGGGTACTTTGTGTATCCTTATAGATATTTAAAATATAATAAATTTAGCCAAAAAAATATAACTTTTCCAATTTATAAAAGATTTTTCTCATTAAAGAAGATGGGACCTGCCATGAGCCCCATTTGGGGATCAAACTTAAAATTCAAATATTTGACAAAGTTTTGAATTTAAAAATTATAAAAAAAAATTTCCTCCGCCTATCTGAATGTAAATGAAGTGAAACAATGCAAAAGTGGGTGTGCAGGAAATTTGGCAGTTAATGTGTTAACCTGGATGAATTGTATAATTTTCCAGCTGCCCACATTCAGATGGTGCACCTATATGACTAGAAAGTAAGGTTTCAGAGGTTATTAATTGCTTTTATGCATTATGATTTTTTTCTGTCAATATTGAGCTTATAGGTAACTGAGTCTGTGGATGCCTTGAGTTATTAAAAAAAATCAATTTCATCAATTATACTGTATTCTGAGCAAAATTCAATTGAATGTCACTTGTAAGGGTTTAAATAAAAAGAAGCCAGTTTTTTTTCTGGAGGATGTTTATTCTCATGCACATAATTTTTGTTCACAAGGCTTCCACCAGGAATTTGGGAACCTTGGAATATTGCATCTTGGCCTTGGGTTTCCTGTACACCATGAAATCAACTTTGTCTTGTTCTTTGGAAAATGCTGAATTTTCATTTTCAGGATCACTGGAATGTCTGTTTGGTCTGAAATCAGGCACTGGTTCATCCTCTTCATTATTGCCACTCTGGATGGAATCATCAGGAGGTTCTCCAGGTACCACCATGGGTTGGCTGCCTGCTGCTGATGGTGGTGCCTCAGCACCTGCCACACTAGTATCCCCAGTTTCCCTGTAGTACACTGGGATAGGGTTGAAAACCAAATTATCCATTGGAGGACTCTTTTGAGGTGCCCAGTCTCCTGTTAGCACACCATTGAGGTCTTCATTTTGGTAGCTGCTCAATTGCTCTTGGGTCCATTTGTTGTTTTTGATGAGGGCTGCAGCACACACTGCCCCAGGTGGACAGGTTTCCATGGTTGCCATGCTTGGCTGGACCTCTTGGTACTGCAGACCTCCTTGCTCATGACCAGGTTGGAACATTGATGGTTGCTGATGTGGTTGCAGTTGTGGGTTTGGAGCAGGAGGAATCAATACTGGAGATCTTGAAGGTAGTGGTAGAACATTCCTCATGCTTGGCTACAAGGATAAAATATGGCAAATTGATCATTTTTAACAGTGCACTGGTCAATTATAAGGGATTTTGGTTACCATTATGCAATAATAAATCTATCTTACTTTTGAAAAATTGACAGGAAAAGGTCCTAATTACTATATTTCAAAAGAGAACACTGAAACACATCAAATGATGATGATGATGGTGTTCAAGAGAACACCATCAAAGAGCTACACTAGTTGGTTATGTCTGAGAAGTGTTTCAATTTTCTAATATCTACATCCTGCAATTTCACTTTTCCAGATAATTTGAAAAATCTCACATTTTCCCCAAACAGAAGAATGTTGGAATACAGGAAAAAGAAACAAGCCAATCAAGAGACAAATATCTACTATAACATTTAAATGTATACATTGATCATCATTCCCTGCACAGTATAATTTTTTAACCATTATGCAGGTGGTACTTCACAATTTGACAGTCCTGCAATTTGATAGTCAAATGTTTAAGAAGGTTAACTTGAAATTGGACCTTTGCCCCAAAATTTGACCTGCTTTGGCCACTTTTTTGTGTATTTCTACTGATATTTTTGAATTTTATGAAGTGTCTTGCAATTTTACTACTTTGCAATTTGACCCTAGTTTGGCAATGGATTACAGTCAAATTGCAAGGTACCACCTGCACAGAATGTTGTATCAAATAGCCTCTGCCTCAAAATGTATCTATCTCATATTGTCTCTGTCTCAAAAGGTGTCTGCCTCAAATAGTGTCTATGTCAAATTGGCACTGTCTCAATTTGTTGGTCTTGATTTGTCCTAGATCCTGCATTCCACCACAAATCATTCTTTCCAAAAGTGTAGGATTTGTTTCATCTCAAGAATGAAGTACAGTATATACTTTTCCAAAATTGATTATTATTCCCCAAAAAGAGGTCATGCCACCGCAAAAATGACAGTATTTGTTTGTGCATAAGATTTGAAAATATTAAAAAGTAAAGTCCCTTACATATAATGCTGCTGGATCTTGAAGAAAAGGTGCAGCAGGAGCAAGAGGAGCAGCTGCCAGAAGAGGAGCAGGAGGAGCAGCATGCAGGACATTAGCATCAGAAGATAGAAAATTATCCCCTTTGTTCCTCAACAGCAACAGGTTTGAAATGGGTTGAGGATCCATGCTGGGAACTTTCTGCTCCTTCCTCATCAGTTTCATCAAAGATGATTCAACATTCAAAGGTTTCCTCATGTCAAAGTCACTATTCCCAAGCCTGGAGACCCCTGATGATGATGGTGGCATCAATTCAGGGAACAATCCTGACTTGAGTAACACAGCAGACATTTTATCTTTCATTTTCTGCAACATCAGAGATTGCTGTTGATCTTTTCTCAAGTCATCTGAGAAGGAATTGATTGGAGAAGCCTCTGGGAATTCAAATTTTCTCTTTTTGAGGAGCTCATTCATGAAGTCCATTGTCCTCTGGGACATGTGAATTATTGGGTCCAGTCTGTCTTCCTTGGCTGAATCATCTCTTTCATTGACTGAAACAGTTTGGACATCCAGAGGCATCTGGGGTTTAGTAGTGAATGCAGCTTCAACATCCTTGAGCATATTTTGGACTGAAGGCTGCAATCAAAACCACAATTTTTGAAGCATGATCACAACAGTAAAATAAAGAGTTGACTCACAGTTTGAGATGTACCCAGAAGGCTATAAAGGTTCTTCAGATGGTTGTTCAGCATTTTATTGGAGTCTTTGTTGGTCCTGAACTGTTTCTCCATGGCACTCAGCAGCAGCTGAACAGGAGTGTCAGTCTCTGGTTTGCTGTCATTGATTAAAGAGAGTTTACCCAAGCCCATGGATTTGCCTGAAGGTCTTTGTGTTGCAAGTGATGATTCAGTCTTGACCTCTGTAACTTCTTCTGTTAGTCTCAGCACTGGTGTTGATGTTTTAGGCAGCTCATTCCTCATCACTGCCTCTGGTAGAACAAAGGTCTTGGGCTTACACATGTTCTGGAGCCTGTTGCCAAAGTGCTTGGCTATTTGAGAGAGGTTGATATTGCTGCTTGGGGTGGATTTGTAAGACATGAAGAACTTCATTGGGGAAAGTTGGATGGTCTGTGATGAGCGAGTCATTGGGTTAGAAACATCTGGCCTCCCAGCAGCAGTGGTTGTCTCAGGCACAACAGCACTTTTAGTCACCAGCTTCAATTCCTTGTCTGGATACTTGGAAAGTAGTCTGAATTCTTGCTCTGGCAACTTATCCACCACCTTGACTTCCTTCTCTGGCAACTTATCCACTAACTTGAATTCCTTCTCTGCTGGCACCTTACTCAGCATCTTGGATTCCAGGCCTCCCACCTTAGTCACTAAGACCTTGAATTCCTGCTCTGGCAATTGACTAACAGACTCTGGCCCAATTCTCAGGACCAGCTTGGGGCTCTTCTTGGATGCATCAGGAGTAACCTTGAGGAATTCCGCAGGGTCTACCATGGTCACCATCAAGTTGGATGGTCTGATGTTCCTGGGCACTATTCCTGTGGATTCTGAAAGGGATGCAGCCAATGTGGGACCAAGTGTGGTGGTCTTTGTGGTTTTAGAGGAGCTGGCCTCTGCCTTCAGTTTTGCATACACAAACTCTGGGATGACCATGTGTCTTGCACCATTCACTTTTGACTGCACGTACTCCTTGAAAGCTAGGCGCTCCACTGGGCTCATCTGGGACACACCATCCCAATAGTCTGGATCCTTCAATGGGTCTGTATATGTACACAAATGTAAACATTTTGGTTCATGCCTTGGCAAACACTCCTGATTTCCAAGAGCCATATACACTTCAGAACTGACCCTTCACCAAGCAGCACCAATGTATGATTTTCTATGAGCATATAAGCATAGGAGTTCCCTTTCCAGCTATAACTTCAACTGAACATGATTGCAGATGAAGTTCAGAATTTTTCAAAATGTCAACCAAAATAGCTGAAACTCATAAAAACATGACCATAATTTGAAGGAACTTGATCCATGACCAATTTACAGTGGTTTTGGTCAGTTGTGTTTTTATTGCTACCATTTAAAAGTGAGAAAAACCTATAAATTTCAGGGTGGTCTGAACACACTTGTCAGAAATATGCAGATCATATGTGCATAAGGGGTGACTGATCCCAGCAAATAAGTGGAGCATATATGTATGAAAAGTGTATCTGAGAAGTGTATTGATATGTGTCCTGAAGTGGTATCAGAGGGTTATTGTCCTTATATTTTGGTGCAGCAGCTGATATGGCTCACTCATTGCCAGATACTTTAAAACTGGATATACACCCCAAATGTATATCCAGGATGTATCACAAAATGCAACACCAGCAGAGCACATTCTTTTATTTTGCCCAGCATTCCACAGCTACAGAAAGGAGCTTCAAAAAGAATTGGGACTCCTAAAATTCAACAAAACGGCTTTTTCCAAAATCTTGGAGGACCAAGATCAACTATTAACTTTATATGATTTCTCATCAAAGATTCTCTCCACATTTTTTGATCAACTAAACCTTATCTGGGAGCAGGCTGAACACCTTGTGCTTTAATTTGGGTTCAGTATAGTTGTCTTATGTGGCAATTCTTATTACTGAAATTTTGTTTTTGTTATTGGGGAAAGGAAGAACGTGCGTGTATTTACATGAGTTGTGCAATTGTACATTTTGGGGTGTATTTTCTTTTCTTTCAATATCCATATACAGTTTAGTTATCTAGTTTGCATTCTGATGTGATGGAATGTGTTTGGATGAATGTGGGTGGGGAGGGGGTTTTAGCGTGGGAACGTTGCTTGAACCTTGTGAATGCCAAAAAGCAGAAAATAAAGCTTGCTGTTCAATACAATTCTATACAAAATGCTGGGAAGCCAAGGAACCATGATGACCTGGTTCATCTCATAAGATGCACATGATTTGGTTCAAGTAGAACTATCTCACACCATCACAAAGTGCTTTGAGGACTTTTTTGAAGACACAGATGGAAGGATATGATGACCTGACATTGTCACTTTTTCCTACATATACACTATATTGAACTCACCATAGGCTATGCGGTGTGCAATGGATGGTTGAAAGAGGGCAGCCAGCAGCACCATGGCCCCCAGCAGCAGCAGCATCATGCTTCCATGTCTATCAAACCTGTTGCACCAGTTCATCAGAATGAGTCATATCTGTGGCACACCTGGTGATCTGCTCAACAGGTTGAAGGACAACAGAGACACCTGGAAGCAACGGATTCTGGAAACGGTTTTCTGGCACCCACTTCCTTCTCACAAAATTTCCCCTATCCAAATAAGATAAACAGACTGCTGTGGATAACACTTGAGTTTTCTCTTGGGGAGCCTGGATCCTTTCTTCTTTTTTTTCAACACCTGTTTTCTGCATGAGTGAGGGCATGTGGTAGGGTTACATGACATTTGCTACACACTGACCATAAATT